CCGTACCCTCGGACAAAGTCCGATTCTGGTCGTGGGCTCAAACAGACTCCCCCCGGGACGTCTCCCGGGGTGCGGGGGGGAAAGTTCCCAGGCCCGTCAGCCCCTCTCCAAGGCCCGCTACAGACCGACCCAGCTGTGTCGACCCAGCTGTGTCGAACAGATTCAGATTCGCAGCGCAACAATCAGACGCAAAAGACGTAAGACAAGTGCAGGACATAGACATAGAACATAGAACATAGAACATAGAATTCTGGCCAGCTCACCTCACCTCCCGGCAGTGATTCGGTGGTCTCTGGGATAGGGGCCTCAACTTCCCGGCCAACGCACCAAATGAAAGACTCCCCTGGGGCGTCTTCCCTCGGGAGAGGCCCCTGCGCCCCAAAGATCAGTCGAAAACACGCAGCCGGATGCAAACTGCAAGAGGTTTATTGGAGATACACAGGCACCTGTGGGCGGCAAAGTCTCTCGGAGGATTTGCGCGCCTGCAGGTTGGGGATGAGGGGTTTTTATAGGGGAGCAAAAGCACGGGTACAGAAGCAGAAAAGCTTTCATTTCATTGGTCAGTTCAAATAAGGCTAAGCTGAGTGGCACACCAGCGTGGGTTCCAAACCTGACAACAGCTCTCAAGTGTCCATGGCCTTCATTATCAGAGTCCTTCGACCTATAGCACCTACCTTTGCTGGTTAATTTGTTCACATCCTTGAGATCGCTGGGGATCAGAACACCTCTCTGGGGACTGACCTCCTTCCTGGGCAGACATACACTGTGTCCTCCTACTCCTGCGTGTCACGTCCACATGCAATCAGCCTCCAGTGTGTCCCAAGTGTCAATGAGACAAAGGAAGAGGTTGACAGAAGATTTCAGAGAAGATAATGAGTGAGCCAAGGATAACTTTGCTAGGACTTGGAAAGGTGACGTCCTCCTTCCCATTAGATCACAGGTGAGGAAAGAGCATGGGCTGCCTGGGGCGGAGGAAGCAGCCGGGAGAGCAGCTCCACACCCTTGGGAAAGGGAGTTTTTCCCACCTGAGAGCTTTTCCCCACTCAGAGACAGTAACCGTCCTTGATAAAAAGCCAGTTTTGTTTTGTTTTTATTTTTCACTTGGTCGATGGGACACCCATGTTACTAGTGAGGCCAGCTTGTCAGTCATAGCCTCACACATATGGGGAAGTGGCTCCAGGGCTCCAGGCACTTTGTGAGCCACACAAAGAGGTGAACAAAATAGATTTGGTTCCTGTGGTCAAGAAGTGGATGTGGGAAGAACAGGCATGAGGCAGGTAAGTGTTTGAGAAGAGACTATGATTCTGGCTTTGAGGATTGTCTCTGCTGGGAGAGGCCAAGTGGCAGCATTAGCTAACTAGTGCTGGAAAACCGCACATGCTCAGACTTGGCTATTTTTCCCCCCACAGCCCTCGGATGGAGGATTGGAAAGGCCCCACAGAAAGAAGCCCAGGGCCTTGCCAAAATCCTCCTTTGCCCATTGTCAGAAATGCCATGAGGAGGGGAAATGTGCATGATATGCCCGTGACTGAAATACACGAAGTCAACTCTGGGACTCAGCAACCAAGAAAGGCTGTCATTCAGACTGTCCCAAGGATTGTACGAACACCCTCTGGCATAACCACCTATGAAGACAGGTCCAGTACTTCTGTGACTTCCTCCCTTCCCTGTGGAGTGGAAAATGGGACTCTCGGGCCAAACGCTTGCTGGAGCCTGCTCCTGCCTGCAAAGTGGATTCTTGGCTTTTCTTTGATTTAAATAGATCTTTGCCTTCACAACTAGTATGTATCTCCTGTCTTGCTCTGTCCTTTGTTTAAGACACAAAGAACCCAGAGACAGAAGATGGGCACTTGGAGCCTTCCTCTTCCAGTACCAGTGGCTTCTCAACTTAACGTGACATCGGCATTCACATACTTTGCCTTTTTAAACTACTGAATGGGGTTAGTCATGCTTTATCCCGTCTTCTCATGTGGCCACATTGGATAAATCTTTTTCTATTCTTCATGTCGCACTGTCTGCTTAATTGGCATGATGAGGATGGGTGGCCAAGCCCAGGTTCTTAGGGCTGTCAAGACTCAGGCCCTGATGCCAGCAGTAAATAATAATACTTAATAATAAATAAATAAGTCACTTACTTAAGTCGTATTGGACTGTAGCAGATGACAATAAGTGAGCCCCTAGAGATACCGCTGTGACCGAAACAGAGACTAATAGGGAAATGGGTCATTAAAGATCAGCAGGCAAACAATTAGTCATATTAAGGTTAGGTGTGGTGTTACAGACAATGACCAACCGTAGAGTGTCTGGTATCAGCTTAGGTACCCAACTGGCAAGCTGTAGTCTAATTTTATAATCTGGACATTATATTGAGCAAATTCAAAGCAGTCAAAACAGACTTTGGTGCTGTTTTTAACCACAACCTATATGTTGAAACTTTTTTCAATTTAGGAGTTACTTTTAATACGTTAAAAAAAATAAAATTAGCTCAGACACAGGTATCAAAGTTCTAGGGAACAAAGATTTTGGCCCAACAAAGCAAGATATTCCCACCAGCCTATCTAACTATGAATGCTGAAAGTTCAAAGCAGCTCCTACAGAAATACCACAATTATGTAACATGGACCTGGCAAGATGGCTCAGTGGGTAGGGGTGTTTGCTGCCCAGGCCTGGCGACCTGAGTTCAATCTCTGGGATCCACATGGTAGAAGGAAATAACCTGCCTCCACAAGAGGTGCTGTAATGACCTCATCTGTGTGGTAGTGCACACATGCACACACACACACACACACACACACACACACACACACCAAAATTTTAAAATTTAAATATATATGCACAAGAATTCTAGAAGAAACAAACATTAAAATATAGCAATAGTTATTTAGATGATGATTATAGATTTTTTTTACAATTTCCACATTTAAATTTTATTTAATAGATGCCTATTTTTGTAATAAAATTTTTAAAACATCTGTTCAAATATGCAACAATCTTGTTTTCCTTAGGGTATTATTCAGGCCTACAGTCTTATTCTTTGTGGATGTTCACTGTGACCTCCTTTTCTCTCCCTACATATATGTTTTTCCTGAATAAATGAGTAGACAAAAAACTTTGAACCAAATAAGACTAACTAATGAAATGTTTGTGTTGAGCTTGGATTTCCCAACCAAATAGTAAACTGAAAACATTTGGGCTTCCTTTGTTTAAGATTTTTAATTTTAAAAGAATTTTAATTGTTTTATTTTATACATTGGGTATTTTGACTGCATGTATGTCTGTGCTTGATGCCTACAGAGGCCAGAAGAGGGCATCTGATCTGAAACTGGAGTTGCAGATGGTTGTGAGTCATAACATGGGTACAGGGAATCACTTCAGGGTCCTCTGGAAGAGCAGCCAGTGCTCTTAACCACTGAGTCATCTCCTCACCGCTCTTTGGAGGGTCTGAAGAAAGACCTATTAGCCGGATATGTGACATATGCCTTTGAGGGCTGAGGACTGAAGGTCATTTTGGGTTACACAATGAGACTCAACAAAAAAGAAAAAGAGAAAGAGAAAGGGGGAAAAAAGAAAAGGAAAAATGAGTTCATTTTATTTGCCTTAATTCTTAGCTATTTTGTTTATTGATATGAACTTTAGGTATGGTAGATTAAATTAAAAAATAAATGTCTAAACACATCCTGACATTTAATATTTCTCAAAATTCCATTGTTTTAAAGTTATCTGCCTTTCATCAAATAGCATCCTGCAGGCTTCTCAAGAAATCTCCTTTCTTATCCACAGATATTTGGATCCCATCAGAATATGTTTTTTATTTATAACTATTTCTCCTCTGGAGTCTTCTGCAATCTGCTTCGTTATTGCAGCTAATAAGTTAGAAACGGTAAATAAGTTTTCCGTGGCAGAATTCTACACTGGAAGAGTTGGGAGTGATCACTTGGTCTAACGTCTCTCCCAAACCAGGACTCCCTTGCAAGCCTTGGCCAGTAGCCTTTTGCTGTCTGCTTGAACTCCTCAGATGTTGGGGAGCTTACTGAATTTCATGAAAATTTTGTTTGTTTTTTTCAAAGGTTCTTATCTTTAAATCTGCCACAGATGAAGGTTTCCTTCTAGTATGTGTGCATTCCTACTGAGCACATAAAAAAATGTCCAAAAAACTTTCTTTGTCTGAAGAAGTAGAAATTCTACTTCATTCATTCACTTAGCAGTTTTGAACACCTACTGCGTGTTTGGTCTGAAGTGTCACCCCAGCTCCCTGGCACCCCTTTATACAAAGAGTCTGGAGTATTTAGCTGGGGGCTTCACCCCAGCTCCTGACAGAAGCTCCCTCCCCTGGGAGTTGCCTCAGTCTAACTCTACCTCTGAGAAAGCCCACCAAACAGTGAGCCCTCCCCAGGAGGAGTCAAGAAAGCTGGCCAAATGGTAACCCCCTCCCCAGGGAAGGTCAAGACCACTCCCACAGGCTATTTAAACTGCCCCCCAGAGAATGAACATGTGGTCTCCTGGTTCCTGTGGTCTCCTTTTTCCCCTCTTCCTCTTTCTGTGTTCCCTGTACGGGCCTCTTGGGAGTGCTGGCAGCCATTAAACATGGGTGTCTTCTAATTCAGTCTGATTTGGTCTTATTGGGATTACTGTGTCAGCAGAGTGATTTGTAGGCTAGATAAACACTTAATATTTGGAGGTCCCATGGGGGGTGAGCTGTTTTTTCCACAGACCCAATGCTACATGTTGGAAAATGCCCTTCTCCCACATACTCTCCACCAGGCTAAGATTGCCTTCATCTCAGGGAGTTCCCCTTTCTGCGTACATGCCTCTAGGGTCCAGGACCCATATGATTTTTCTGGTTGTCCTGTTGGAGACATGGTCAGTGCCAGGTGCCCGACAGGAGCGGCGAGACAGTTCTTGCTGAGGTGGGACTGAGTGGATAGAGATGTCTGCCCACTCATTTCTCATGACCCCCTATTTTTGACTCAAGGTCTTGTTACGGTAGATGCATTGTGACAGGCTTGAGTCCCAAGATTTGGCATACACTTGTGAAATGGGCTCTTGCAATTCAAAGCCTGATCTCCAAACACCATTGGGCTGCCTTTTATAAAAATCATTTTATTTATTTTTTTTAATTTTTTTAAATATTTATTTATTTATTATGTAGACAATATTCTGTCTATGTGTATGTCTGCAGGCCAGAAGAGGGCACCAGACCTCATTACAGATGGTTGTGAGCCACCATGTGGTTGCCGGGAATTGAACTCAGGACCTTTGGAAGAGCAGGCAATGCTCTTAACCACTGAGCCATGTCTCCAGCCCTATAAAAATCATTTTAAATTGGGGCTAACACCTAATGCAAAAACAAGGCTCCAAAAGCCCAAGGTTTCTGGATGCGGTGCTTCTACTCTAAAGCTCCATGGGTATTCTTTGTTTTTG